TACAGCATGGAGATCTTTTATGAAGCACTTCACATAAATTTGAAAGCACTCTTGAAAATACAGTCTGCAGAAATAACACTTTAGGTAATGTAGCTGAACTTGTGTTCTAGGTGAGCATTTTCAAATATAACAGTGGGATACAGCAGACTGGTAACGGTATGTGGGAAATCCCACAATAGATGACACTTATGTTATATAAAACACACCAAGTGGAAAAAAAATAGAAATCGACTGAATAGGAAATGATTCATTCATGCGGTAAAGGTTTCCGATTCCAAAAAAACAACCGCATGACTTTTCATAAATCAAATGATAAAACATCAGTGACGCGTGCATCCTCTTAATATTGTTCAATCCATGTGTAGCAACAAATGGGCCTATTTCATAACTTGATTGTGCTTACCGCCTAAAAGCAAATTATTTCTGTTTTTCACATATTAAAAAAAAAGCTCCCCAAAAATCTTCCAGACAGCCCCTAGGGGAAATATCCACTAGGGTCCAAGCACCCTGTGCTCTAATGGGTATTTAGGGCGGTGTGTGTGTGTGTGGGGGGGGACAAACTCAAATAAATGTCCATATTTCTTGAAGTGAAAGAAACACATCACCCACATGAGGTACATTCATGTGGCAACGATCGTTTTTAGACCACAAAAGAACTTCATCACAAGACTTATGTTCTAGAATAACAAGAACAGATGATTAAACCATGTTGTGCATATCACACACCATAACAATAAACCACAGGTTATCATATAATCAGAGTGTCACTCGGTGCTTTCCAGTCCAAAGCAGAAGGAGCTCATAACATCCATCACTGGCACTTGTCGCTGTTTCCCAGCGTGCATCGTGCCTCTCTGTGTTTTTCTACACATGAGGCCAAAACACCCAATTACTGCCTGAGGACCCGAAGGTGCAGAGGGTAGCGTGGGGCTGCTGCAGCCACGGCGCAGGCGGAATTCCAGCCTGAACCAGCAGCTCATAAATTCACCGCTACAGCCAAATGGCTCTTCAGGTGCACTTGTTGGGGATCGGCACCAATGTCCAGGTTTGGCTGCGAGACAGAACTAGGAGGGAGCTAAATCAGCTCTCATCCTTTGTTCCATCTTTGAGGCTATCAAACACATATTTTACAGCAAACAGACAGACACACACACACAAACAAACAAAGAAAACTGATGCTGTGTTCTTTTATGTAGAGAGATATTTGTCTTCGGGGAGGGATAAAGTATTATGAGAGGAGCTGGTTGGCTTTCAGCTCAGAGGAACTGATAGATGCACATCGATCTTATATATTCTCATTGGCATGAGAGTCTGCAGCCTTTCAGCACAGACGAGTGTCATCTACAGTGGATGCGCATCACCTGATAGTTGCTCCCTGCTAATTCACGACTGAATGGTGGATCGATAAAGCTGAGTGTGTTTTTCAATCTGTTGCAGGGTGATGTCTTTTATTGAAAAAAGTGTGGCTAGACTGGACCAGCTGGACAGACTGGAGGCTCTGGCTCTGGAGCTGGGGAAAAGCCATTATCATTACAACGCCCCGCCTAAGTACTACAGCGTAAGGCCCCCGATGGTCCCCAACAGCTTTGAGCTGCTGTCTGTTTGTGTGTGATGCTGCTTTGTTTGGAGAGGCGTACACATATTTTTTAATTTGTGCTGATGGTGTAGCGCTTTATTAGCCATTATATAACGAGACCCCTAAAGTCACAGCAGCCGAATTAGCTGACGCACATCCCCAATCTGCAAAAATGCTTTACCCACCCGCTCTTGCAAATAGCACATAACAATCCACGAGCACATTAGCATCTCACATTATTATTTTTATTTATTTATTTATTTTTTCCCAGTATGTCGGAGCAGAATTCATCTGCGCCGTGCAGCCCATCTTGAAGGAGAGGTGGACGGCCGAGCTGGAGGAGGCGTGGAAGGTAAGGAGCCTGTGACCTGTGAGTCTCTCCACCTCCCGTTCTGGTTAAATAACCTCGTGGAATAGATGTGATGGCTGCGACCATCACAGCAGCAACGCTGGTTCCTGCTCGACTCCCTTCCTTAATGCTCCGCGTTACATGTCAAGATGGAGACTAATGCAACACAAGTTTGAGTGATGGTAAAATCTACATCTCACTGAACCATGCAAGAGGGTGCTGAGCAAGTGGAAAGTGTTTCTGTCACGACGAGTTTTATCACTCTAAGACGTTTTTTTTTCTAAATGAAAGATTGCTGACGCTGCCCAGAGAGAAACGTTTTAACAGCTGTAAAGAAAAATCCAAATGCTTAGATCTAAAGTATAATATCCACATAAAAACTGTGCATCCTTTTCCATTTTGACCCTCTCCTGCTCTCTAGTGGCTAATGCTGGTTTGTCACACGTCAGCAAAGTTTAAAGTTCATAATCTGCTAATACATTTGCAAAACGTCAGTCAAGTCCTACCTTAACATTTTCAGAGGAATGTTTTGTATTCTGTGTGTGTGTTTCTTAAGCCACTTAATACTAACCTATGAATCATTCAAGCACAAAAAAGAAGCATAAATTGAGGGATTTGGGGAGTGTTATGTCCACACATAACAGGTAATTTAGCAATGAACTCATTTTAAATCGTATCTTTAGGCCCTTTGTTACTAGAAGCCTGTCAAATAAAACAAACGATTTGTTCCCATGTCTTATTCTGAATTGGCAAAGCAAAACTTTTTTAAAAATGCCAAAGATAACACCAGTTTAAAGACATGAAATGTTTTCACCAACAAGGTGATTCTCAAAGACCTTTATCTCATAGTGCAGTAAGTTTGTGAAAGTGTGTATTAAATTACACACAGAAGAGGAGGGAACTGCTAAAACCTGATGACAAAAGCTTCACACTTCAAGGGTCAGCATGTGTGTAATGCTTATTGTTTCTGATCCAGACCATGTTCCAGTTTGTGACCAGCCTCATGAACCAGGGATACCAGGAAGAGAGCGCCCGGCAGCGCCAGCTCGCGCTATCCCCGAAGGAAAGACCGGACAAGAGAAACACAGCGCTATGAGACAGCACTTCTTTTAAACGCCACACAGACTGTTATCACCAGTACAGCACAAAAATGCAGTTTGTAAATAGCATATTAACCGTAATGTTTTCCGTCTTGCTCACGTTTGGTCCTTTAGTATTTCAACAGACAAAAACGAGCTGTGACTGTTTAGAAAGCACTTTATTTTTGAATTTAAATTCTGTTGCTGTCCTCTTGTATGAGAGCAGGACTCTGGTATCACGGTGGGACAAACACAAATGGGTGGAAACATTTTCTGGCTGCAGTCAAACATGCTTTGTGATTGTGATAAACAAAAAAAGGCATCTGAATTACAGCCAATACTCCTCTCTGTATTTATAACTCAAACATGCTTTCAGTAAATCTGCAGCTTTCAACATTTTCTGCACTATTGAACCAAATCATGACATCATTCAGACATTAGCTGAAGCTGTAATATACATATTGGTGTTAAAGTATTTAAGACAGCCAGTTTAACAGCTTGGTATCGGTATGTAAAAACAGTGACTAGAATATTAGTTGTGCCTCTAAAGACATAATAAAAATAAAAAATAAAATACAGTACATGACATTTGACCCCACCAGAAAAACAAAACAGGACATTTGGTTCTACGTGAAAACTCAAACTGACATTTAAATCCAATTTCATGAAAAAAGAAAAAATGAAACATCTAAAACCAGCTGAATTAGAATGAGCTAGCACAACTTTTATTTTTAGCTGGCAACATAACATAAATATGCTCTAACAATTAAATAGAGTGAAGGGCTGTTAATCATCGGGCTCCAGAGGCAGCAGAACTTTTGAGAATCTGGTCCCGAAGCAGAAATGGTGGAGATGATGAATGAGAAATCCTCAGTTTTCTGTTCCAAATGGCACTGGGCAGTCAGGGATGAGATGTTATCATGCAAACAATGGCATAATATCAAAGCAGTCAGTGAATCTGAGGCCTCGAATGAATGGGAGGAAAGCAGATTGGGGGCTGCAGATCACATGGAGCCCTCTCCCACTCCCCTCAGATAGTGCGAACCAGTTTAGGTACCCAAGGTTGTCTTAGAGTCTCTTGCTCATTGGGTGGCTTTGGTTTTCTTGCTTTTGCTTTTCTTGTCTTTCTTCTTAAGTCCATCCATATGAGCTCTGAGGAGGTTAGAGTACGCCTGAAAATGAAAGAAGCACAAATGGTGGATTTATCAAAGAGGCAAAACTTTAAGAAAAATATGGTAGTTTCAGTCTTATATGGAGATCAAAAAAGATTTTAGATGAAAACTTGCTCAACCTACCATCTGAAATTTGATAACTTCTTTGGTGCTGACCTGAAATTATAAGTGAAAAATCAGGATTAACCAGCTGTGGGGACGGCAAAGCATCTCAAAATTTAAATCTTAAAGCAACTCACCACTGTGCTAATTTTCTTCTTGCCGTCAGTCGCTCTGAGGAGACATTTGTTGTCTGCAGGTTCAAAAGACTCCGCGTGGCCCTTTCTGGGCACCGGTTTGGTTCTCCCATCATCTGGAAGAATGAAAGACTCTTATTAAAAACTGCATAAATATAAATAAATACATTTTGAAACATGGAAATTCACAGCTTGGTTGTCGCTTTTAGAAAAACCCACTTACACTTCTTTAATGTGATGACAACACTGCCTGATGTTCTGCATTTCTGGAAGAGCCGTGTCAGCTCTGTGAGAAACTGGACAACAGGAGGAGAAAGAAAAAAGATGTGAAATCAAGCTAACAGTCATGCAAAGTAGTTTAAGCATGGTCAGCAAGATTATGTAAAAACTACACCGCCGAATTTCATGAAACTTGGTGAGAAGGTGAAGCATTGGTGGAGGAAGAATTAGTTTAAATTCGGTGTGGATCCAGATTATTTTATTTAAAAGTACCGATTAGAGAATTGGCCTCGATAGATTATACAGACTGCCTTACTAGTAATATTTTATGAAACCGTTAATCCTAATCGTAACAATAAGATTTTTATTACTTATTTTCACTATTGCTAATCTTACGCTAATACATAAAAGGAGACGAGAGGACAATTTCAAGCATTTAATGCTACTGCACTGCTCCACAAAACTGCAACAGTTTAGCTAAGTGTAATCCAATTTAACAAGTGGCAGCTGGAGATAATGTTAACAACACCTGGCTGAGAACCTACGGATTTCGGTTAGCTCCGTTTTGACCTGAACAATCAAATTATGCCAGAAAGTACAACTTTAAAGTCTAAGACCAGTCTTAGCTTCAGAGCTAACTGCTAATCTCAATCTGCCTACTGGCGTGTCTAACATTGTGGCTATTAGCAAGCTAGCTTTACGACAGCTAAAGAATACAATGTCTACTTCTATCGCATAGTGAACAACAGGCCGAGTTATTAACGAGGTATATTTGCTCTTACCGAATCATTTTCCAGCAGCACCATGTCTCTGACTTCAGTTGTGGTGTTAACTCACTAACCGCAAGCTAACTGCTGTGAAGCACACGTAGCCTACTGCACAAGCCGAAGCCCCGCCCTGCGACCTCATGACCTGTGCGCGATAGCTTTACCTCACACTGCCGCCTACTGTTCGGGAGGGCAAAAACAAGCAATGACACACTTGTTTTGTAAGTTTTAAAGCAGGGCTGCCCAATCCCAGTCCTCGAGAGCTACTATCCTGCAGCTTTTAATGCACCTACTCCAACACAGCTGAATCAAATGAATGGCTTGTTATCAGGCCTTTGCCAAACACGATGGCATGCTGAAGAGGTAATCAAACCATTTGATTCAGCTGTGTTGGAGTAGGGATGCATCTAAAAGCTGCAGGACGGTAGCTCTCGAGGACTGGGATTGGGCACCCCTGTTTTAAAGGAAACATTTGTACATTAATATCCATAAATTCCGCCGTCAGCTGATAAATGGGCTGTATTTGTATAGCACTTTTCTAGTCCCTAAGGACCCCAAAGCACTTTACATATCCAGTCATCCACCCATTCACACACACATTCACACACTGGTGATGGCAGCTACATTGTAGCCACAGCCACCCTGGGGCGCACTGACAGAGGCGAGGCTGCCGGACACTGGCGCCACCGGGCCCTCTGACCACCACCAGTAGGCAACGGGTGAAGTGTCTTGCCCAAGGACACAACGACCGAGACTGTCCAAGCCGGGGCTCGAACCGGCAACCTTCCGATTACAAGGCGAACTCCCAACTCTTGAGCCACGATCGCCCGATACAGATGCAGAGGTAGTGTGTGACATTGTTCTCTCAACTATAGCTAGCCTGCAAAACAAATGACTATGTTTGTTGTACAGAGGTCACTGAAAGAAGAAGAGAGAAAAAGCTCACTTGACCCAAAACACCAATCTTACTTTACATATTTCTCAATGATCAGGCTCTATCATATTTTAAGACCTCACAGTCGCATAAGATCCCAATAGACCACTGCCTTCTCAGACTCCAGGCTTACTTGTGTTTTTCTCGGGTTTCCAAAAGCAAATTGCAAAGAAGAGCTTTCAGCTGTCAGGATGTTGTGCTGTTGGGAAACCTTAGTTTGGATTCAGGAGACAGGAACACTCTCTTTTTTATGATTAGGCTTAACACCAACTTTTAATGACTTTTACAGTTAGAGTTGGATCAGGTGTCCCTCAATTATGTCGTTATAGACTCAGGCAACTGGGGACCTCCCCAAGATAGCCTTGGCATTCTCCCCACCATACTTTGTTTTTTGTTTGTCTATCTATGCTCTCTTTCTTCTCTTCTCTTTCCCTTGAATCCCCAACAGGTCACTGTAGATGACGGTGTCTTCCTGAACCTAGCTAACTGACAAAGGTGTCTTCTTGTTAAAGGGGAGTTCCTCCTCCCCACTTTTCCCAAAAGCTCTTCATGGTGCATCGTCTGATTGTTTGAGTTTTCTCTCTAATCTATGGTGTCCTTACCTTACATCATGAAGTTAAAGCATCTCAAAGCGACTGTTGTGAACTGACACTATAAAAAAAGTCTAAAGATCAGATTCTTTTTCTTCCCACCATATCTTTATTACACTGTTCTTTATGCAAAACAGATCAGCAGTCCAAGCAGTACTCCACAGGAAGCTGCTGTATAGTGTGAGATCTCACCCCATCTGACAGCATCTCCAACACTTGGGTGGAAACATATACAAAGACCAACACAAACAAAAGTACAAAAATCTACCAACAAACTGAACAATTGCAGACACAAACAAACAGAGGACATCCATGCAACATATCAGAAACAAAGATGAGGTTCTTATTGCACAGCTGCAGCTTCCACTGCCCTTGTCTGTAACTCCAGGATTGTGCTGGCGCATTCAACCAATATTCCTGTGCTGGCAAAAGTTGGTGGATTTCTCAGCCTTTCTTTGATGACTTTCCCCATCAAACCTGCGCTTATCTGATCAGACCAGCAGGTGTAAGCATGGCCTTGTAGTGCTGTGCTGGTCAGTGTTACTTAGATACTGCAGCCACAGGTACACAAAAGTCTCATGCATGTTTACATATTTAACCATGACATTAAAATGCACTCAATGGTTGATATTCAGTAATCATGCTTTAAAACAATCAGCTCAGCAGTGAATGATCACACTGCGCCTGAAAGAACATTGTAAGTCTGACTGCACATGTACTAAAACATGTTCAGTCAGAACTGTAGCATGACACATTTAGTAGGTTAATTAACATATGTGACAGTTGTATTAAAAAATATCGTTCCTGACAAAAAGGTCGTAAAAACAGCAGAATACTGTGTCCCAACTGGGATTTGAATGTCATGAAATGCACTTAAGATTCATAAAAGAGCTTCAGTCATCTCGATAGTGAACAGTCTGGGTGGTGTCCCAGGTCATCGAGGAGCACAGCAAACTCTGAATACCAGTCTCTGTTAAATACTGCCTTGAGCTGACTGTACAGGGTCGTATTCTTCATTTCAGGTTGAGATGCATGCTGGGACACCACCAGGCCCACTCCAGCGGTGGTAAGAAAGTAGTCTCCTGACCAGTTAGAGGTACCTGGGTAGCAGCAGAGCATAAACCTGGTCAGAGATTCCATCAACTGACTTAGAGCAACAACACATTTGTAGAATAACTGTGTTTCTCACCGATATAAGCTACTTTATCAGTCACCATGTATTTGTTGTGGTTGACTCTGGAAAATGGAATATCGGACTGGTTTGCCACTGGGACGATGTAGAGTTTCTGAAAAAAGAAAGGAGCGTAAACACAATTTTTTTTTAAAATAGTGGCAATCATCTTCAGGAGTTTCATGTATCCCATGTTGCGTCTTACTATCTGGATGCTGATATGCTGCTGAGGAGAGTCGAGTGAGGCTAGAGACTGAAGAAAAGGCAACATGTCTGGATCAGAATCCCGCCCGCAGCTGATCAGCATCCTGATTTGCACTTTCCTCTCGAACGCGGCCGTCTTGATGGCATCCTCGATGACCGGCCAGTATCTGCTGAGTGAAAGCCGAGGATTTCAGAGTGAGGAAAACAGAGGAAAACGATGTGGATCATTAATGTGGAGTATTTTCTGTAAAGGGTTAAGTTAACCTCCGAGGCCTGTCAAAGCGCGTGGTGGGGAAGTACTCCATGACAGCTACATCAACATAGTGTTGAGCCCCATAGATGATGGAGAGAATAGCATCCAGGTCCTGAGTCCTCGATGGAGGACAGAAGGATGGAGGAGAAGCCTGGAGTGAAACACAAGAAATCAACAGGAGCACTTGATTCATAACCACAGGTTTTAAGTATGTTTTTGTAGACATAGCTGCAGACTACAACCCTTTCTCTATTAATGATAAAGAAAACCTAACAGTATCCTTTAAAAAGGAACTGAAACCTAATGAACTTACTGCCACATACAGCCGGGTGGAGATGTTATTCTCTTTCACCAGCAGGGGGTGTTGTTTGTTGATGTCTGTGTTATAGTTTGCAGGCCAAGGCTGTGGCAAGGAGCTGTTGGGTTGACCCATCACCCAATAGGACTGGAAGATTTTACGAAGGTCCTTCGCAAGACTGGAGCAGTTGTAGATCACAACTCCTAGTTCCTTCACCTGCAGTTAAAAGTAACTCTTTAAATTGTTTAGCAGCGTTTCTAAAGGTTCAAAATAGCAAAGTACCTTTGATTGTCTAATGTGAGCGTTCACCTGTGTTAAAGCCCTCCAGTCCATGTTGGCGCTTCCAATAAACACGTGTTTCCTATCGACAATCCAGAACTTGCTGTGAAGAACGCCGTTTGCAAGGCGGCCAAAGTCCACCTTTCTCACATGAACTCCTGCAGGCAGGAAGAAAAAGACAAGGGTCAAGGTCAAGCTGGTGCAAAGAGTTGGTGGCCTACAAGACTTTGTTGAAGAGAAAGCAAACCTTTTTGTTTTAAGATCTGTAAATCGGTGGAGTTTGTTCTGACGGTGGGAACACTCGTTATCACTCGGACAGTCACATTCCTCGAAGGAAGCTCTTCAAGCTCTTTCAGGATGTTCCTTCCCTGCCAAGGACACAATGAAAACATTAGAAGAAAAAAGTTTGTAGGGATGTTTTAATGAGGAACACAACTCTCCACTGCAGCTGGTAACTCACGGGCATATCAGAGGAAGAGTTGACACTGATGTCTTCCCCAGTTAACGTCCAGTAGAAAGAGACCACATCCACTTCGTTTGTTGCCACTGAGATGAGATTGTTCCAGACTTGTTCAAGAGGGATCCCAAATGTTACGTTGCCTTTGTATTTCATATGTTCGGGAATGCTCTCCACAAGGGCCATGCTGCAGGATTTAAAAAAAAGACATCTGCTCAGGGAATTCTTTGGAAGTTGAAGTGGAAAAAATTGAAAAAAGTAACTTTTAATCTTTAAGTCTACAGATGTGGAGTTGTAGACTCATCCAAAGCTTTAACTGACATCTATGAGGTGCTTTTACCCCTTTTAAGGGGTATTACAGCTTCCCTTTAACCTCTATATCCTTAAAAACAGTCAAAGTTGATGTTTTGTAGAGTCAAAATATTACTGCAAATGAACTTAAAACAAACACTTGCTTCTACTAGCAAAATGATTTTGAGGGTTACCAGGAGAAAGGCTCTTTTCTCCAAAAATATCTCGATGGCTTAGGTTTGCAAAGTTGCATCTGAACAGACAACAAGAGTTTTGGAACAATTTCCTTTGGACAGACTAGAGCAAAGTGGAGATGTTTGCCGAAAACCAAACACAGCACAGCAGCACAAACACCTCATATCAACTATCAACCGCGGGGGAGGACAGGTGATGGTTTGGGCTTGTTTTGCAGACCTGCACCTTGGTGGTATCGAGTCAAAAGAATCCAGATGCTGAAATGGCACAAAGTCCAGACCTCAACCTGACTGAAATGCTATGGGGGGCTTTAAGAGAGGTGTGCAAAAATGAATGCCAGCAAACCTCAATGAAGCAAAACAAAGGAGTTAATCAAAAACAATGTGAAAGACAGTCACACAAAAAATGATTACATCAAGTACTTCTATGCATTTTTTTTAACGTTTTACCAACTTTCTACAAACCTTAAAAGAAACCTGACGTTTGATGGCAACATCCCCTGAGAATAAGTGACTTCACCTGGTTAGCTAGTCACATAGCTTCACAGCCTTTATTGTAACAAAGAACTTCCTTTTCTTTGTGGCAGCTTCAGTGATATTCCAGTGAAGCAGCTTTTACCTTTGTGGGCATAAAACCGCGGTAAAGTGAGCCGTCATTTGTGAGCCGCGGTCAAGCCAGCCGCCTCCTATCCGCCGCATAAATTTCCTTGCGCTTTTACACCAGTCTTTACGGTAGCGCCTTTTCGCTTTATATCCCACGTGCACGCGCGCGCACAAATTACAATGGAACAGCCCAATACAGTCAATACAATTATGGAAATTTCAGAAATTTATTAAAAATCATCCTGAATAGTTGAGGTCCAACTTTCAACACATCCCTCCTCTGGGACACCTACTGTACCTGTGTGCCAAGTTTCATCCAGATTTACTGTAAAATTCCTCAGAAATTAAAGGAAACTTATATTCAATCAATACAGCCAATACATACAATTATGTCAATTTTCAAAAATTATTAAAAATCATCCTGAGTGACACTTTCAAAGATGAAACATGGGCTTTTTAAAAATTAATTCTTAGTTTTATGTTCAATATACTTAAAATTGTTAATCTTATGGGTGTAATTAATATTTTTAAATTTGATTTAATTAATTCTCATACCGTTTTAATGTTAAATAATATTGATATTTCCAATTTATTGAACACATTTAATTAAATCCAAAGAGCCCTTTCCACATCCTTTCTGAGCATGCGCAGAGAATGAAAAAAATCTTCGCGCATACGCATTGACCTTCTTCACCTACGCCACAGTGTGCTTTGGCCACGTGTCTGGAAAGAGGGATTAATCACGATTCATCCGTTGGAGTTAAGGTAATTTCTTCCTATTTTTAATAGAATATAATTTAACTAGTACTTTGTGATAATATATGGCGTATATTTTTCCGGTAAATATGTGGGCAGTATGTGTTCTGTAGGTTGTAGCATTTTGCTAGCATTGGAAACATTCATTTGCATATTCGACGTTACTGCACATCTGAATATTGTCCCATCTGCGTTTAAAATTTCATTCGAACTCCGAATAGCACACTTATTTTATTTGTTTTATTGCACTATCAAGTTAGGAGAACGTTAGCCCGAACAAGAATTGGGATACATGTGCAGTGATTGTTGAGGACTCGTCTGTTTCACTGAAGAGAACCGCTAGCTGCGTAGTTTGCATATCTTCGCGCATCAAGTCTCAAAGAGACCTCTGAAGGTGACCCCCACTTGCCCCCAAAATTAAGTATACTGGGTGGTTAGTGCTCCGTTTGTTTGCTACGGTGTCAAAGAT